TTCTTACGAACGTGGTCACTGCCCTGGCAAAAAGAGCAGCCAGGATCCCTTGACATCCTCAGAGTTAAATCCTGGGGGTCTCTGCTGAGACCTCACATGTCCTGCCTGGACATGGCATCCCAAACCAGAAGCAGGTGAGCTTTGTTGTATGCTTTGTTACCTGTTTGTTGTATGCTTTGCTCAGCCAAAACCCCACAACATCCCCAACTACCCTGATCCAGCTGTCAGCACACACAGCTGTGAAGTACTGTCACAAACATCTTTTATGAAAAGCCTTTGTTTTAGGGTTCTTTTTCTCTTGAGAAGTTGGGAGGCCTCAGGAACAAAATGTAAACAATGATTATCTGCTGCTGTGGAATGCAACAGGTGCATCTGTGATTGGTCTCATGTGGTTGTTTCTAATTAATGGCCAATTACCGCCCAGCTGGCTTGGACTCTCTGTCCAAGACACAAACCTTTGTTATTAATTCTTTCTTTTTCTATTCTTAGCTAGCCTTCTGATGAAATCCTTTCTTCTATGCTTTTAGTATAGTTTTAATACAATATATACCATAAAATAATACATCAAGCCTTCTGAAACATGGAGTCAGATCCTCGTCCCTTCCCTCATCCTCGGACCCCTGTGAACACCATGACAAAGTACCACAGAAAAGGGGCAAAACCACAGTGTGGGAGCCAGCACAGAGCAGGACAGAGGATGAAGGGTTGGGAGAAGGGAAGAGCCTCCTAATCCTTCTGTGATTTGCCATCAGCAGCACAGAGCCAGCAGTGCATTGGGACAACACCTCATTCACACTCGCTGTCACCCTCAACCACAGGGGCAGCAAGTGATGTTTGTTCCTCTGGATCTTCCCAGCTGAACCCACTTTGATACTGAAGCACAGGCAGGAAGGTTCATGCTCAAGGACACAACTCCAGGGCTGCTCACCCCAGTGGTGGTGAAAGACTGGGAGATGCAGATTGGCTCAGAGCCTGAGGGTCCATGGAGGAGTGACCACAGGACAGGGCACAGAGCTGGGGGATCCAGGACCTGTACCTGTCTCTGCCCTCACAGGGGAGCACTGCCCCATGCTGAGATTAATTCATGGCTCTTGTGACCTTAGGGAAGGAATTTTATCTCTTTGTCTTGTTTTGTGCCCTCCACTTGCAGATTTAGGGGCTGGTCCATTCCTATGTCAGAGTGTGCAAGGTCTGACTTATCACCAGTAAAGTTCTTTGAGATGCCCTCAAACCACCCCTTCCCCAGCCTCCCCACCATGCCCTGTGCAGGCACATTGCAGCCCCACCAAGAGATGGGTGTTCAGAGACCCAGCAGCATCACAGATGTGGGCACATGGGGAAGAAAACAGCACAAGGAAGAGAACTTTGAGAAAGGGACCGAGAACATCACAGCAGCAACACAGCACAACCCACAAACCCCAATTCACCCCACAGCCAAGCCCAGCCCTTCCTCCTCCCCCAGCCATCCCCCAAAATGTTCTCAAAACACATTCAAAGCACTTTTTTTACTTCTAAACCTTGCATTACACAAACTCACAGCAGCCTCCTCAAATGCAGGTGGGTCTGACCTCCCAGGTGGGCACTAGAGAAAGTCCAGGTGGTTTTAAACCAGGCATTGGTCTGCTGTTCCCTCCTGAGGATTTCACCCTTCAGCTTTCAGACAAGGCCTCCCAGCTTAGCTCCCCAGCTCCCAGCCCCAAAACCAGGGCAAGGATCCTTCTGTCTTCCAGGACAGGCTGGAAGATGCTGCACTCCAAGGTAAAGGGGGGCTCAGCTGGTCCAGGGCCACAACAACAAGAAGTGGTGACAGCCCAGGTGCCAAGTCTGGCAGATGCAAGGACACAGCCCAGCTTAGAGAATGGAGACATGAAAAGCACTTTGCATCACAGCCATGTTATCCCCTCATCCCTCCCCCTCATCCCCTTTGGAGCTTCTTAACTTCACAAACCTTCCTCCAGAGGAGTGTTGGAGTGACAGAAAACATTTTCCAAGCCTAATATCAGTTCCAGATGTTCACAGCCATTTCAGTTTGTACCTCACCCTGTAAAACACATTTCTCCCTCTCCCTCTCTCAAGTGCAGCGCCTGCTTGGTCCATGACATAATGTGCTGGCGGGCTGGCTGCACACACACACAGACACACAGACACACAGACACACAGACACACAGACACACACACACATGTGCGCCTCACGCCCTCTCCGAGAGCCCCACGCTCAAACAAAGAGCATCACTCAACTACAAAGCCGTGGCACACATGGAGTTATGAGTAATTTCCACAAGTTTTAATAAACAGTTTGGGCTGTAATTGCTCCCCGCCTCCCCGGCTGGCTCCCGAGCGCGCTGGTGTTGAAAGCGTGGTTTGTTTCACACACAAGTTCACCTCCTCTCTGCCTCAGATGGGCCAAGGGCTGTATTTTTCTAAGCCTCCTAAAAACCCTCATGCAGCTGAGGGCACCCAAGCCACACAGGCTCCCTGTCCATCCCTGTCTCACGTGGAGCCCAGCAGGGAGCAGAGGGGACACACACCAGACCAGTCTCAAAACTCCCTCCTGACTCTGCTCCAAGAGGAAGAGGAGCAAATGTTTTCTGGCTCAAGAAAATGGAATGGTTACATCTTCCAGTTGCAGAACGAGGCAGAGGCCAAGGAGTTTTGCAAGGGTGAGAGACTGGAGGGTTTTGAGGGGCAGGAGGAAGGCAGAAGGCAGGTGAGGCAGGGACCAGGTACCACCTAGTTTGCCATGGGGATGAAGAACAGGTTGGCAGAGCTCTAGCCCCTGCCAGTACCAGGAATCACAATAAGAAATGTCTACAACTGCAATAAAGCAAGCAAAACCACTGCCCAAGTACAAATAACCCACTCATTTAAACTCAGGAGTTCCAAGGGATGAGTGGCAGCATCCTCAAGTGCCCTACAAGATCCTTGCCAGATCCTCCCAGCTCAGAGTTGGCCCCCTCTGCAAATACCTGTGATGTTCCTCCCAGCAATGGGAACAACCTGCTCCTCCCTGCCAGCTGCTGGGAGACTGATGGGGAAGGAAGATCTGCCCATATGCATCAAAAACCTACCCAAATTTCATATCCCACACTCCCCTCCCAAAGATTCCCCCTCTGAGGCTGAGTTATTGTTTTTGCTCAGAGGGGAGAAGCTGTGCTGCAGCAGGATGGGTGGGTGATGGTGCTCAGGGGATATCCAGGACAGGATTTTGGGCTGTAGAGAGCTGTAGCAGATCAGCACCTCTGCAAACCTACACAAGGTATTTAAAGGAATCAAGTCATCTGGCATTGGAGGCCTGAAGGGTAAGAAAGGAATGAAGACAGGAATGTTGTTTGGTTATAAACAACACAGGAAAAAAAAGGAGAGATTTTGGATTGGCTTTTCTCTTTAATTGTTAATAGGGTCATTCTGTCCCAAACAGTCCCCCAGAGCAGGCAGAGGGGAGGGAAGCTCCCCACAATGAATTCAATTGCCTGTCAAACACATGGCAGTCATAAAAGGAAAATAATAATAATAATCTGCATTTCCTACTCTGGCTGCCAGGCAAAGATCCAGCCACTTCAAAGGAGAAACCCCATGTTCCCCTGGTCTGGCCTCACCTGACTGATGTGTGAGCAATCTGGAATCCCCATCCAAAACAAAGCCCCTCCTTTGGTGGCTTGTTTTCTTTCCCCATTACTGCAAGGTGCCCCTCCAAGACAAAGAACAAACCTTCTTCCATGCCATGAAACCAGAGACATAACCCAGAGTCCGTGGCCACATTGGGCAGCTTTGGGAGGGGATGCTGGCAGGATGCAGGAGAAAGATCCCAAGGGATGGGATTGATGTATGAGCCAGGGACCTCCTGCAGGTCTCCTGCTTGTGGACACCCCTGCTCCTTCTTTCAGGGGTCTCCACAAACCACTGGACCCTCCCAGGAAGAGGGGATGTGGCTCTCTCAAACAGAGACAGGCCAGCTCTTGTAGCACATGATTTTTTGGATATGGTGGCTTCTATGCTGCAGAAGAGATGGGCTTGAGGTGACCAGGGAGGGTGGAAACTTCCCTGTGGCTGTGAGGTCTAAATGCTCTTCCTGAGCCTGTCTTCCCAACAGGGAAACACAGCTAAACATCTTGCCAGGGTGCCCTGGGAGCCCATGCACGTCTGCATGTGGACTGTGAGGCTCTGCACTCCAACACCAGCCCTGTCCCAGGTAAATTCCTGCTTTCATCAACTGCCCAGCTGCCCCTGACAACTTTTGTGAGCTTCTTTAAAAAACTACATCCAAAATTCTCAAGCAAAAAGCTGTAGGTTCTGCCTGGCTTTCCCTGAAGCACTGCTATCACTCAGAGTCTCAAGTCCTATTTTCTGAAATCCATCATTTACTCACCCAAATCAAGTCCCATTCTTCACAGCCCTCTGCCTTGTCCAGCAGCTCCTGGAGCATGGATTGAGCTGCTGACAAAGCCTTTTTACAGTGTAGAGCACTCAGTACAAGCCTGAGAACTAAACTCCAACCCAGGGAAGTTTCAGGTTCTCCTGAAGAAATTTTGTGCTCTTTAAGTGATCTCCCTAAATATTGCAGGTTTTGAGTTCCTCTGATAGGTGTGCAAGACAACTGAAAATGTCCTTTCAAAGGTGGGTCACTGTTCACTCACTGGAACAGACCAGCAAAGCCCTTGAGCTGTTGAGGCATGACCTTCCCTGCACAACCACCACCCTGGGGCATTTCAGACTGATCAGATCAACACCCGCTTAGAAACTCCAACTCACAGCTCCCCTGCCCAAAAAAGGGTAAATAATTTCCTTCTGCCTCAGTGTTTTTGTAATTCCCCTTCCCCTCAAATCACCATGTCTGCAGAAGATTCCAGAAGCCTCTCCTAAATGGAGTGGGTTTGATACCTCCTGTAACACCTTGGCTCTGTTCTCCACCAAAGCAGCTGCTCCCAGCCAGGCAGGGCACAGGAAGCATCACCAGGAGCCCTCTGCACCACGAGGAGGAGGCTGCCCTCCCTCACACCCACCTGTGTAAAGGTCTGTGTCCGTGTACTCATCCACCTTCTTGTGGTGCAGGACGTAGTCTGACACCTTGGTCCCGATGGCAGGCTGCACATCCAGCCACTCCAGAGACACCACGGTGCTGGAGGGCTCCACGTTGGGGGAGAGCCGCAGGCTGGGCGGGAGACAGGGAGAAAACAGGACACGAGTGTAAGAGCCTGAATGAGGGATGCAGAACTCCAGGCAGCTCTCCAAAAAGCAGTTTATTGTTTCCAAGAAGTTACAGCAGTCCAGGGTAGTGGGTGACAGAGCCTGTGCCTACAGCTGTCAGCTCCAGCTGCAGGCACGCCTGGAGACCCACATCCCTCATTCAGGCTCTTATTGATGGTGCCCCATATTGGGCACCACTGTTAGAGCTGAAATGAGAGATGTGGGACTCCAGGCAGCTCTTCAAAATGCAGTTTATTATATACAAAATGCAGTTTATAGTATCCAAGAAGTCACACCAGTCCAGGGTTGTGGGTGACAGAGCTGTGCCCACAGCTGTCAGCTCCAGCTGCAGGCAGGCCTGGAGACCCTTTGGTTTTGGTTACAATGCATTATAGACTTTTCTTTGCTGAGCATCTTAATACAGCAGAACCAGTCTATACCTTAACTATTATCTGTAGCCCATCATAACTACTGTAATTACCATATTCATGTTACTGTTCTCCAATCACTAAAAGTTAGTACATTACAGTTTAAGCTAGAAGTTGTTTTTCAGTTTTCTTGCAGTGGAAAATTCTGAGATCTTTTTTCCACTTGCAACTTTGCTGACTTGTTTGCCTGTGCTCTCTTTCTGCTTGGTAAAACATCTTCTTGTTCAGGGTGGGTTTATCTTTTGCCCTAAGCCATAAAAACCCCTTCTAACTCACACACCCTTTGCCTCCGTGGTTATCCAGTGAGACTGGCTCAGCAATTGTTTTCTTCTGTATCAAAATTTGCTTCCATCTCTATTCCTTCATCAGATTCTACATTTAAAAATCCTTCTGCTAAGCATATATATCTATGAGACTTTCTGGTCCAACTTTCATCCTTCCCAACACATGAGCTCCATTTCTGGGGAGCAATCCACATCTCTAAGCAGCACTACCCCTAGAAAGGCCCATATTCATACATGTGGGTGTGCCCACAAAGCCCCAAGGACAGAGGTCACAGGGGCTCCTGAGCATCAAAAAGCTGAATTTAGTTGAGTCCATCCTGTAGCAATGTGTGCCCTTGGGAGCCTCCCCCTGCTCCTGGAGAAGGCAAGCTCATGCCGCCCCAAATAACTCATCTAAAGGGCCTTCATTGTCTGGGAGAGCTGCTGAACTTCAGCAAGGTAAGCAAGAACCAGGAGCAAAACAGGAGAAGATCCAGGTTCTTGAAACCCAGCAGGGCTGAGTCCACAGGAGGGAAGGGTCAGGTCTGCATGGCCAAGGTGAGGGAGGGAGAGAAGGGGGAGAAGCAGAGTGAATTCACCCAGCTGCAAACCTCTGAGGGGTGTGGGGGAAAGCCAGAGCAGGGCAGCTGTGCAGGAGCTCCTGCCCAGAGCAGGAACAACGTGGGCTGGGATGAAGGCAGAGGAAGGAGCTCTGGGCTCCTGGCTGCGCTAATGCAGAGGCGTCCACTCCCTCTGCTCCGGGGCAGATGACAACACCAAGTACAGGGCTATGGAGAGTCTGGCTCCAAACACACAGCATGTTTGCTGGACTCCAGATAGGAAATGAATCCCCTCTGAGGATATTGGCTCACTAAGAAGGTGTTCTGCTCCTTGTGGCTCGCTGGAGCCAGTCTTCCTGCTTTCTCAGCTAATTCCCCATCAGTTTGCTCCTGATTTGCTCTTGCTCTGACAAGCCACAATGAATTGCACTGTAATTCCATTTCTTTCAGCATTTGAAATCCCATTCTACAAGCCCTGCTAATCAGGTGATGAAAATCTATAAGGAAACCTTCCAGGGCCACAGCCAGAGCCAGGATATCCTAAAGACATCACTCACACGGTGAGGAGGGCTGGAGTGCAGACCCCAGCCCCAAGGCTGCAGAAGGAGGTGAGCCCCTGGGAAATGGGGTGGTTCTGGGGGGCTGTGACCCACGGGAAAGGGGCTGGTGATCCCTGGGGGGCTCACAGGATACGTACACAGGCGGAGGGAGAGGGCTGCAGTTCGGGAGTCCGTTCTCATCGAAGGCGTTGAGGTCGCACCTGCACCAGTCTTCGATAACATCACCTTTCCCAGAGCACCAGTATGAGCTCATCAGGGCTCCCTTGAAGGCCTGGTGTGAGAACAAAAAGCATGAACATGTGTGCTAAAGACTCAGTGAAATCTGGCTCAGCTTTGGGGCTGAGCATCGAGCATCAGGGGGAGTGTGCAGAGCCCTGGGATCAGGAAACACAGGATGGGTTGGGGAATGTGTCCTCCCAGCTTTGCCACAGCCTCTCTGCATGCCCTGGGCATGGCCCTTCACCTCCCTGGGTTTAACTCCCATGTGTTGAGTGGTGCTGGTTCAACCCTGAATGCTTTTGGATGGGGATCTCCTGTGGGGGAACACAGAGCTGCATGAAGAAGCACGAGTCCCTCTGTGACAATGAACAGGATACACACAGTACTTTCACACTGCTTCCACTCTTCCCCATGCCCTTCTGCCCAGCTGTTTCTGTCCCCTTAGAATAAAGTAATGCCCAACAAATTCCCAACAACACCCCTTCCATCCTTCTCACAGGTTGGTTATTCACACAAAGCGCCCTCCTGCAAGCAAACTGCTGCTTTATTCACTCGTCTAAGGAACACTCACGAGCAAAACAGCACTAGCTGCAAGGAAAACAATAAAACCTGGAAAATACTTGCAGGATGTCCTCAGGAGCCACCCTGACTGCTCCTAATAATACCAATGAATCCCTGGAATAATAACTGTGGTCAGAATTGGCAAGGCCCTCCAGGTCTCAGCCCTCAGTGTCCCTGCTGTGCTCATCCCACAGGATGGGGCATCCCTCACTCCATACCTTGCTCTAGTTTGGACCACATGGATTTATGGTGGTTTCTCCCACTACCCTTTGCCTAGAGTTAAACTTCCACTTTCAAAAACATCTCCTTCACACACACAGAGCCAACATCCAACCCAACCCTGCAAAGCCACAACACCCATCTAGAATAATCAGAAAACCAAAACACAGCCACTGGAACAAAGCTCTGTAATGCTTTTGACCTTTCAAGAGGCACATTTGGGAGCTGAAACACCTCCACAGGTCCTCATCCACATGGAGCAGCCTCACTTGTGGCAACACTGCTCTTCCATGAGAAGCTGCCTGCGGAAGCCTGGCCCTGCTGATATGGCCTGTGCTGCAAGGGCACGCCTGGAAATAAATCTGTGCCCTTTGAGGAGCACAGGAACAGCTCAGGCAGCAGCACTGAGCAGAAAACTCTAGGAAAAGCTCCATGCCAGGGAGGTTTCTGAAAGGAGGAGGTATAAATAGAGCCTGACGTCAGGGCTGCCATTGTCCAGGGTTTTGTTGCTCTCCCCAAACACCCCCAGCACCTTTAACAAGGCCTCAAGGCTCTTGTGTCTACAAAATTCTCTGCTTCCAGGCATTTGCAAAATGGGACTGTTCCAGATGGAAAAAATTGAAGAAAAAAAAAAAAAAACCACACAAGGAAGGAAGGAAGGAACAGGTGAAAGAAAGAAAAGGTGACATTATTTTACTCTGTTCTTTAGAAAGTAATTGAAGTGCTAGTCTGGAAAGGGCATCCAAAGTAATTGGAGAGAGGGATGAAGAGAGGAGTTTATGTGACACCCAGATAAATGGATGCAGACACACCAGAGAGAGAGCAGTGGGTCTGTGCAGGAGAGGAGCAGCAGAGGGTGTGTGCAGATGGATGGGGAAGCATGTGCTCTCCCTAGGAAGCAAGATAAATACCCTGTGCTGAGGTACCTGTGTGCACAGACAGGCTCTGCAGGCAAAGACAGATGTGGGTGATCCTGGGAAGAGCTGCACTGTGACCGTGTTCACAGGGGTCTCAGGTTGAGGGAAGAGACGAGGATCTGACTCCATGTTTCAGAAGGTTTGATTTATTATTTTATGATATATGTTACATTAAAACTATACTAAAAGAATAGAAGAAAAGGTTCTCATCAGAAAGCTAGCTAAGCTAATAGAAAAGAATGATAACAAAGGTTTGTGTCTTGGCTCTCTGTCTGAGCCAGCTGACTGTGATTGGCCATTAATTAGAAACAACCACATGGGCCAATCACAGGTGCACCTGTTGCATTCCACTGAAGCAGATAACCAATGTTTACATTTTGTTCCTGAGGCCTCCCTGCTTCTCAGGAGGAAAAATCCTAAGGAAAGGATTTTTTCATGAATTTTTCATGAAAAGATGTCTGTGACACTGCACTGTCACACTTCTGCTACTGCTGCACTGTCCCCAACCCTGTCACTCTGCACATGCCTCCCTGTCCCCTAACCCAGCTCCTCCCTGTGCATCCCTGACTTAGGGAAGAAACCCCACCCACCCCATCCATGCCCTTTAGTAAATCCAGCAGTCAACTCCTTGTTTTGCTTTTTTCCTGATGTTAAGCACTAGCTGGATGAGCAATCCCCCTTGCTCTGCCTGCCCAGCCTCGCAAGGGTTTTAATTAGATCCTTCAGGTGCCCAGCTGCCATCTGCCTTGTGTCACCCTTCACACAAACGAGGTTAGGGGATGGATGCTCTGCTCATTAGGCGAGCACACCTCCACCCCCTAACCAGGTTACTGGGAGCAGGGCTGCCCCTGCTGGCTCCTGACTCATGCCAGGGCCAGGCTGGGAGAGCCAGGCACCCAGGGCTTGTCCCTGCCTTGTCCCTCTGTGCTGGGCACAGGTGATGCTGCACCTTGGGTGCTGACTCCAGTTCTTGCCACTCATGACAAGAAAGACATTGAGGGGCTGGAGTGTGTCCAGGGAAGGGTCTGGAGCCCCAGGAGAGGCTGAGGGAGCTGGGAAGGGGCTCAGCCTGGAGCAAAGGAGGCTCAGGGGGGCCTTTGTGGCTCTGCACGGCTCCTGACAGGAGGGGACAGAGGGGTCGGGCTCTGCTCCAGGGAACAGGGACAGGAGGAGGTTTGGGTTGGGCATCAGGAGGAATTTCTTCATTGAAAGTGTGGTCAGGCATTGGGAGGGGCTGCTCAGGTAGGTGGTAGAGTCCCCATCCCTGGAGGTGCTCAAGAAACAGCTGAATGAGGCACTAGTGCTGTGGTGTGACAAGGGGGTGATTGGTTAAAGGTTGGATTCAGTACTGGAGGTCTTTTGCAACCTCAGTGATTCTGGGATTCTATGGCTTTTCCTGCTTTCCAGTGGAATTCTGAGACAGTGGTGCCTGGGGTTTTCCCATGAGTGCTGGGGGAGTGTGTGTTGAAGGGTGGGGAAGCAGCAAGGGCAAATTGATGGGGAGCAGAAATGGGTGAGATCACACAGAAGAAGGGAATGGCAGCTGCCACCCAACCAAGGAGCCCAGCGGTGCAGGAGGACCAAGAGTGATGGACAGGGATGCAGTGAAGGTGCTGAGATCCATCCCTTGGGAAGCTGCAAAAGAAGGCTGAAGTTTTGCTGCTCCAGGCTCACAAGAAAGGAGGATGAGGTTTTTCTGCTTTGGGAGAGCTTCAGGAGGGAATGAATGCACAGGGACCTTCCTGATCTCTGGTGGCTGAGAACCACCTTCGCTCCTCTCCACATCTCCTGTCCTTCCCTGCCATGCTCAGAGCGTGCAGTGAGTGCTCTCCTCCCTGCCAGGACACAGCACCTACACGAGTCCACCCCAAACATGACCACTTCCATTTTGCATGCCTCATCACGATGGTCATGTCTCCATAGGCTCAAGAAGGTCTGGAATCATGAAGGGCTTCCCAGGAGTGATTGATCCCCTGGGAATGGCACTGACCCCCAGTGCACTGTCCTGTGCTTGCCAGCCACTCCCTGGGACCCCAACACCACTGTGTGCCCTAAGGCAATTTTATCTCTCATTTAAAAGTATCCAAATTGTATTGTTTCCCTGTGAGTCAGCCCATTTAGTTTATGTCCTTCGGTGCCAGAGGGGAAATTTATGAGATGAGAAACTGGCTCGAAACGTTTATTTTCTAGATGACGAGTCATGCCATTAGATATATAGCTTTATGAATCACAGGAACAGCATCTAATTTGCTCTTAAAGGTATAATAGGTCTGATTCCCCACACCCATGCACACACATCTATTGGATTGATAGTTCCCCCCTAGGATGGCTAGTTCATTTGTTTTGACACAAGCAAGACTTACAGGACCATAAAGTCCCATCTTACCATAAGCTAAGCCTATTCATAAAAAAAATATTAGGGAAACAAACGATCAGCTAAGCACATTCATCCTACACTCGATTGCATATGGATCTTTCTCCTGTTGTTATTTGTGCTCAGGGGGAGGCCATTTGGCCCCATTTTATAGCTGAGACACTCTGTAACAGAATGGAGAAGAACACTTCCTTTGTCCTCTGTTAGACCTGGCTGATGGAGGGAGAAGCATTAAGTTATTTCTAATTGTGGGCTGGCTGTTGACATCCCAGGAGGGGAAAGTGATAGGACATGAAGGAACCTTCCAGATCAGCATTTGCAGGACTCAGCACACAGCACAGGGCTGGTGTTTGCAGATGGGATACTGGAAATGACACATGTTGGGTGTTTGTCTGTCAATATCTAGTCTTCTCCATGGCTGACACTGACATGGAAATCTGGCTCACTGAGTCTAGGATGCACATCTCTGTTTCTGGAAAAATTAAAAAGGAAAGACAGGGAGATTAAAAAAAAAAAAAAAACAAAAACAAAAACAAACCAAAATAACCCCAGGTGAACATGAAGGCTGGACAGAAATGGGCTGCATATAAAGGAGATGATCTGGAAGCTGAATCTTAAGTTTCTTTTGGATTTTGCACTGATTTCCCAATCTCTGTTTGCTTTTTTGTTCTTCTCAGTGCAGAAGGAGAGAAGGAAGTGTAGAAGCATGAGCTGAGCCAGCATGGCTCCATCCCATGTCCAGGGACACTGCAGCAAACAGACAAACAGAGACATCCTGTCCTTTCCTATTTGCAGGATGGAGATGGGGCATGAACAGCCCCACCACCTTCCCTCAGGCACAGGCAGGGCCACTGGAGGAGGATGAAGGCTCCAGAAGAGCTTTCACAGCCTGAACAGGATGTTACCATGATGATAGTGTGAGGAATAGCAGATTTGTCTTTCCAAACAAGCTGTGGGTCTGCTGGTAGATAAAACCAGCAC